CAATCATAATCCTTTAAGTACACTCCAAAACAGCAAAGCGATATGACAGAAGCAATCTGTTGCCTTTCCTAGTGTCGGTGTTGTGTCTCTTCCACAAGAATGATGAGATCTTTAAAATACAGCAGAGCTACTTTTACGAGTCTTTAAAGTTTTAACTGTAAACAGTTATTACACTAAATAAACAGGAATAACCTCTTTTGCACTTGATTTAAACAAGGACAACCGTGCAGCCCAAACTCAAAACTCGAAGAGCAAGCTTTACTGCCACGTCTTAGCAAGACCATCGTGGGTCTTACTTTAAAGCTTCACATTTTAAGACTTGTGCATGACTGGATCCATGACAAGCCAATAAAGGCTTAGGAAGTTTTTAAAATCCGAGTATCTTTGAGTCCTAGTTAAAAACAATCAGGGCATGCCTAGCCTTGGTGTTAGTTTAACATGTTCGGAAAGATAACAAATGCAATAGAACGCCCCCACCCGATTGTCCCCCCCCCCAAAAAAAAAGACTGTCCCCTGGTAACCTGGACGAAGAGGGAGATGGCTCCCACTTCTGCAGGGGGAGAAAGCTTCAGTGACAGGAGACCGGTGCAGCTATTGCTCACAATTAATCAGGCTCCAAACCCGAAAGGTGATAAATAAAGGGGAGGGGGGCCCGCAGGGAGGGAGAGGGAATGGTCCTCCCCACTCCTCAGATAAAAAGTTCAAAAACCTCGTGTTTACCAGCCAAAACGCGAGAGCTCTCCCATGAAAACGGAGAAACCCCGCCAGATGCTATCTGCATCCCGTCTGTCTGCCAACCAGCGGCTCTTCCCTACCCGGTATTAACTCGAGTCTAGCTCAGACGCCCGGCGGCCGCGGCCAGCCGAGCAGCAGAGGCATCAGTGTGCAAATAAAGCAGAAAATAGAGACATCCTTAAGAAATGAGCCTCAAATTTGACGTAGAGCAGAGGTGACAACCACAGCAACAGAACCATAAATTCGAAATGCTCCCATATCTTTCAGGATTCTTTCCAGCCCTTGACACCAAAAAGAGACAGTGCAGGGGGTGGGGGGTGGGGTGGGGTGGGGGTGTCGCGGGGGCCCCAAGCGGCGGGGTGATGTAATGAGGATGTCTGTGTGACAGTCGGATTCTCGGGGGCACGGTCCTCCGTGGCTCCACTTCGGAAATCAGCGTCTCGGGCGAGCGGGCCCAGACGCCGCGCGTGGGTGAGGGGCCACGCCCACGCGCGCCCACCCAGGACCGAGGCCCGGAGGAGGCCCACACTCACGCGGCTCCTGTCCGGCGGGCGCCGGTGCTCCGGGGGCTCCGCCGCGTCCATCCGGTTCACGAGGGGCCGGCG